TGGATGATTATCAAATTGGTTGAATTCTTCTTTAATTTGGCAGCCTAGAGATTGTAGCTAGGATAATTAGGGTGTAATTATGATTATAAAGAGGTTTAAATATGTTCGTTAAAAAAGAAGTTTAATTATGTGATTATATTTGTTTAATTAGACCTATATATTTAACACAAATAAATCAATACCTGTTATGATAATTCATTCAATCCGTCATTTCAGCCAAAATATTACCCTGACATTTTTAGTCATTTTAGCATTTTCAAGCGTTGTAGTGGTTACCAAATAGGCCCTTCGTCTACAAATATTATTTTTTGAAAATTATTTGTCCTGGCCATGTTGTTCAGCTTTGCTTCACTTTCTTTTCCTGCACAGTTGTCCGTCCTCTGATCTCGTAGTTGTGATAAAGTTTCTTCCATTTTTTTGCGCGTCTGCTCCGGGAACGCCGCCGTAGGAGATGTCGTACGATTACTTGTTCAAATACATAATTATCGGAGACACTGGTAATTGGTAAAGCTTCCCCTGTCATGCTCACCCTTTTGTGAGCTTGACATACGAATTGAAGTAAATTTTAAACCCTAATTTCATCACATTTCGGTTCTTTAATATGGATAGGGGTGGGCAAATCGTGCCTTCTACTGCAGTTCACGGACAAGAGGTTCCAACCGGTGCACGATCTCACTATCGGAGTTGAGTTTGGGGCTCGCATGATCACCGCGGCAGACGGTCGCCGCATCAAGCTTCAAGTTTGGGATACGGTGAGTTGATTTTTATCCATGGCATAATCTCTGATCAGTTTAGCTCTGTCGCGTTCTTCTTTGACTTGGATGTGTCGTTCAAGTATAAATACAGTTCTTAGACATTTATAGCCACGCGATCAGAATTTATTATATCTCGTGTAGTCATGTAGACGATTGAGCAATTGACATTTGTTAAGTAGCTCTGGAATGTTGACCTTGAAACCGCATGATAAGGCTGCGTCCCTTTCAACACAATCAAGTCTTTCCCAGGAGGACTGCCTTTGTTTCCACTCCATTCATACCCATTTTGTCGCAATCACTTCGGTATATCATAATTTATATAGTTCTTTTGAACCGAGATTTCGTATTCCTAGTATTCCCTACAGACTGGAAAAGGATCATACTATTGCAGCTGACCCCAATATCTTTTGGGACTAAGGCTTGGATGTTGTTGTTTGTTGTTGAAGGAACTGCTGTTAGTTAAGAGGACAGAGATAACAAATGTTGATTGCTCAATTGTCTACATGACTACATGAGATGTCATAAAATTTGATCATGGGTGTAGATGTATGTCGCTACTAGATCCATACAACCAACATATGTATTCTACTCCCCTCAAATTCATTTAAATTTTTTATCTATCGTGCAACTCGTATCAGGTTAGTGATTAGTCTCAGCATCTTTAGAAGTTGTATTTAGACACGTTCACACATCCATATGCCAGTTGATTCTGTAGTTCCTGGATTGTAATGTCTACAGCCATTTAGAAACAGTTATCTGTGTATATGCATATTTATTTGTTATATAGTGTTTTAACTCTTGAGTTTATGGAAGTTTGATGAGGCATCATGCTGTGCTGAAGAAAGTGTGCATAGTACATTTTAACATAACATAGAACACTACTTTGTCTAGGCTGGGCAAGAATCATTCAGATCTATCACCAGATCATACTACAGAGGAGCTGCAGGTGCTCTACTGGTTTATGACATAACCAGGTAAAAATATACTACGTAACTTATTTTCTTGTTTTCACAATAATATTTTCTGGGAAAATTGCATAAATGATACCTTTGTTAGTGGAGTTAATGCAATCGGGTTTCCAATCTATCGAATGAAATAAATTATTCAGCTAAGTACATGTACTTGTTTCATTCAGACCAAAGTAATCATGTTCGACAGTATGAATTTCATGTTCAATCCCCTGAAGTCCTGTATAATTAATACATGAAGGTGATAAGCGAATTCCAAGTCCCGTGCAATTCTCATTGTTGCAATGACTAAACTAAACTTTGTGTATCTCTTAATTGCACATAGTTTTCTTCGGAATGTCCATGGAATTCGAGCTACATACTAGTTAAATGACTTTTTCTGCAGATTTCTTAAATGGTACCATTGGCTTAGACAATAATTAACTAATTAGCATAGAAACGCGAAACGGGAATTTGAAGCGCAAGACGCGAAACGTGAAACGCGAGAAGCGAGCTTTCTAAAAAATATAGAATATGAAACACGGTGAAACGCATAAAAATCAAAAAGTATAAGCATATATTTACAAAAAAAAATATATGTGTGCATGTTATTCATTTGTATACACGGGCGTTTTTCATTAACTTTGTTTGACAACCAATAATAAATACATTCTACATGTTCAAATTTAGAAACTATTACATATTAGTACTTAATAAAACATAAAAATCAATCCATTTCTAGCATTGTGTTGTGCTATGAAATATCACAATGTTGCTAGGAAGATCCCATAAAAAATCACTAAAAAGTTTGATATAGGAAATATTTTCCAATATGGAATCCCATCAAAAATAAAAAATAATCTGGAACCCCGAAGTTTTTCAAGTGCTAATTATTTAGGGAAATGGGTTTCTCAATTCTTCTTAATTACAAAAACCGTCCAAAACGGGAATTGAAGTTTCTGAGTTTGACATGCTTTCGAGTTTTGGAAACGGGGAAATGTGAGCCATGAAGAATTTATGTGCTTCATAGGTAATTAGGGTACTAGTGTGCTTTTTTTTTTAAGAAAAGAAAGCTTTATTGATAATAGAAGCAAAATTCAAGCGCTAATGAAGATAGAAAGTAATTGAAAAAAAAGGAAAAGTTAATGAGGAAAACACGAGAGAAAGAAATTAGTAAGGTGCATTAGAGTAGTTGAGCCGGACACGCTGTTGGGTATGTTGCCTGGTGTTGTGTAATCGTGTTTGCTGTCTGGTCTCAATAGTCCTAGGCGTTGATTCATTGCGTCTTTTGGATTTTTTGAAAACAACAACCGTGAATCCTTCTTCTGATGGTATGTGAACCATTCTGTTTAATTGTTGATCCAAATTAATGAGGGTACTAGTTTGCTTCATTCAATAGTTAGGATACTAAAATGCATCACTACAATTAGTTGAAGTGCATGCTAGTTTCTCAATTCTTCGTGGGGAAAATATGTTCACTATTCTTGTGCGCATATTGGATGCATAAAAGCGTCTATATAGGATGGTTCTTCGATATCAAAGAAATGGATGTTATTTTTATTCAATTTCTAGGTCACTTGATTTGTATGGTTCATCACTCACACATTCTCAGTTAAAAACCCATCTATATAGGAGAGAAACGTTCAATCATCTTGCAAGCTGGCTGGAAGATGCTCAGGAGCATTCAAATCCAAACATGACAATCATGCTTGTAGGAAACAAGAGTGATCTAGGTCAACGTAGAGCCATCAGTAAAGAAGAGGGTGAGCAGTTTGCAAAAGAACACGGGCTTTTGTTTTTAGAGGTATCATCTAAGACTGGCCAAAATGTTGAGGAGGTGAGATATGTTTTAGCCAAAACTCTTGACTCATTAAACTTGTTCTTGATCTGATGCACTTCGTTTGCTGCAGGCCTTTAAAAACACTGCTTCAAAAATACTTGATAAGATCCAGGAAGGTGTTTTTGATGTGTCCAATGAGGTAAAACTGCTTGCTATTAATGGGGGCATGGGGTTCTATGTCTTCTGTATTATGATGCTTGGTTGTATAAGCACAGATGTTTAGTATAATGAGATTGTTCAGTATTGCAAATTTGCAATTATTGGGTGTCAACTTTTAAACCGATATGTAAGAGTTCCATGAAAACATACTTAAAAAGCTTGATCCATGTTGTTGATTGATAAAATGAACCATTTATGAGAGTTGTTTTCATAACAATTTTGCAGTCATATGGAATCAAGGTTGGATATGGGCAACCACCTCAAGGTCATAGTGGTTCAAGGGGTGGAGCAATTTCTCAGACAGGTGGATGTTGCAACTGATGTGCCTCACGAGTCTGGATTTTTGTGTAATTGGGGTTTTCCTTCTTTGTATTATGAAGAGCTCTATAACTATCCACAATAATACAGCTCAAAGATTGGTCTTGCACATTCGTGTTTGGGTAGTGCTTTTAGGAGTGTAGCCGTGTAGCTTTGCTAATGAATAAAACCTGCAAATTATTTGTTATTGCAGAGGCTTTTTACACCACAACAAATATTACGTCTGTAACTGTTTCTGTACCTAATCTATGTCGAATGTAAACTACATTTACAGTCCTATTAGTCATGGAACATTGAAGTTTGTTTGATCTAGTACGTGCAATATTCTAAAAGGTACAGATTGTGGCAATGTATTGGAGCTGTATTATATGGAGTATTATTTTATTTTATAAGTATTTATTATTTATAGTGATATATAAGAAACACATAATCTTTCACCAACTTTGGAAAATTTTGAAAATTTACTTTTCTAATACAAATATAATATTAAAAGAAAAAACACAGAAAAGAATACCACTATTATTTTCTATTTGATTACGAAGTTTATATATATGCACAAGTCGTTGGTTTAAAAATTGGACTTTTTTCATGCTCACTCTCTCCTTTTAACGTTTAGTTTATATATACACAATTTTGGACTATCAAAACTTTATCAAGATAAGTATTTTTTTATGCCTAGCTAACAAGCATGACGTTTTCTTGGCCTAGATACAACCATTTAAAGGAAAAAATACAGAAAAGAATATCACTATTATTTTCTATTAGATTACATAGACACATAGTTTATATATATACACAAGTGGTTTGTTTAAAAATAGTGAAATTTTTTCACGCTCACTTTCTCGGTTAATCCTTTAAAGTTTAAAAAAAAAAATGGACTTTTTCCACACTCAGTCTCTCCTTTTAACGCTTAGTTTATATATACACTTTCGAGTTAAATATTTTTTATGCCTAGCTAACGAGCATGATGTTTTCTGGGCCTAGGCGCTGCCACTAAAAAAACACTGCATATATGTATGTGTATAAAATAAAATGCTCATCTTTTCAACACTAAATAAAAAACGTTTCTTTTCCAGGAAAGAGACAGAGTAAACAACAGTTTCTATGAACAAGAATCATAATATATGTAAAAAAACAGTACTTCATGAAGGGAATCACAAGAAATCATCAAATGTTGTATCCTTGACACCTCATCCCTGAGACAAATATTTTACACTCATGCAGCAGAAAATGCAATCACGATGGGCCACCAAACACCTGAAGCACGAAAGTGTTCATATTTATTCTTCATTCAGATAAAGTTTACTCTATATATGTAAAAGCAGTAAAAGGGGAGGAGGAAGAAAGAAGAAATTACTGCCGCTAGTGTATCCTTAGACAGTCTAGTTTGCCTTTCTCCAGCTCCTCCTGCTGCCACTGCCGCCTTCTGGTGGAAATGCCTAATGAACTTTCTTGGCCCATCCGCTTTTTCTGGAATGCCTGAAGACTCTACTGACTTTTCTACTACTTTCTGCTTCTGCAGAACATAATAAAGATATACACAAATAACAAAGTTGACAGGTTATAGCAGCAGTTATGCGTTAGGAACGCAGCAAGATAGGAATACATGTGCCACCTTTTTTAACCGTTCCTCAATAGCACTCAAGGCACGGGCTTTGTCAACTTGTGTGAGGAAGAAATCTCGTTCCTTCTTCGCAGCTGACAGTTCCAATGTTAACTTCTGCTCCCGAACGGCATTGTTATGCGCTGCAAGAATTTATTCAGCCAGATGAATTTGTGATCGGCCATCAAAACATATAAATGAATGGCCAGTCATCCATGTTTCCCTACCAGTCTCTTCAGTAAGATCATCCCACTTGAATTTACTCAAGTACTTGATATTCCAAAGATCATAGTAGAATGCTGATCTTTTCCTGCCACCTAAAACCAAGCACGACTTTGAAATCATAGACCATATTCACAAACTCACAAGAAACAAACACAGCTACGGGCTATTTGACTATACCTATTTGTTGACCGTTTAACATCTTAGCGACCCTTTTAGCTATGCTCTTTTTTGTGAATTCAACCCACCTGCAAAAGGTGTTATCATAATTGACATCTAGAAAGATAAGTTTATTAAATATTATACATACACACAAACAATAACAAAAATAAATAAATACATCATCAGCATCATCATTTCACCAGTGCCGCAAAGGCTCCCACCTACGGTGGGGTAAGGGGGAAACTTTTTAAATAAATAAATAAATAAATAATAAATAAACAAACAAAAATAAATAAATAGGAGTAGAGTGTTAGAAACTTTGTATCCAAAAACACCACACACAATACTCATATGATGGAAGACTAGACAGTTCTATTATTTTGCTATGTACATAGTTTTTCAGATACCATGTAAGAATTTTGTAGGATAAAACTTCCAATTCCAAGTTCAAGTTGCATACCCTTCTGAAAATCCTTGTCCACGATAAGCATCAGCCCGTTTACTATTCATTTGTGCAGCTGGATCTATTCACAAAAATCTCACATGAGTTGCATTAACTACCTTTTATCACAATTTTGTACTATGTTGCTAAATGATAATGTTAGCTTACTTAGCTTGATAATACCTAACTAAAAATAACTAAGAGCCTAATTAATACTCATTTTGCATACTACAGAGGAGATTAGAATAACTTACTTTCAGGAACAAGATAAATTCGCTGAATCTCACCAAATTGAGACAGAATTTGACGGAGCTTCACAGGATCCATGTGTGGAGGCACCCGGCTGATGTAGCAAACTCCACGTTTTCCAGCCTTCTTAGCTTCCTCCCTTAGTTTTAGCTTCCTTTTCTTTTTCCGGTTTTCCACACTAACATTTATTTCTTCCCTATCCTGATCAGCAGAACCTTTTACCTCTTCGTCACTCATTTTAACTAATGGAGAAACTGAAAATGAATGGATGTATCATTATTGGAAACTACAAGATGCATCAAGGTGCACAATGCTCTTGGTATACAAAGTATTCAAGCACAACATGACACAATGTTTAACAACTAAAACACAATGACACAATCGCTCCAGGCCCTCTGTTTTAATCAAATATTCAAATAGATTAACAATGTTTCACAAAATAATACCATGTTTAACAAATAATACAATGTTTAATCCAGAAAAAAGTGTAAAAGAGTATTAGAATTTAAAGTATACCTGGAGGTGGAGGCATAGTCGCAGAGCCGCAGAAGGCAGAGTCGGACTCAGAGAGCCGTAGAGGGAAGATGGCCAACGCAGGGCCCTGAACGCGTGAACGGAGGGAGGCGACGCGTCTGGTGGCCGCAGGTCGGCTGGTGGCTCCGTCGCAGCTCCGCTACAACGTCTTCGACCTTTGACCCTTCGTGCTTCCGCAATTCCGCCAGTTCGCACTTCGCACTCCACATGTTTGCTTAAGTGGAATAGTTGCTAATGGTGGGTTGGGCTGGGATTAATTTTGGGTTGGGCCGTGGGCTGAACATTAAGTCCATACCTTTACTAATTAAAAATAATAATTTGGGTTGGGCTGGAGCCTATCCCTGCTTTCACAATGATCCACCCCTGGGCGTGAGCGGTGAGTCCTTGACTCCCGTGACACACTTCAGTCGTGGTCTTGGACTCGTGGAGGCGGGGCACGATGGTGGGCTAACGGCGCTTGTCGGTCACTTGAATAGTCGGACACTCATTCGCTCGTCGATAGTCGGCTTCCTCCGTAGGCTTAATTTGTCGCTTCACTTTCTTAGTAGCTTATCGGCTAGTCGCTTGAAAATCAATATGGATGATGAGTGATACTATTAATAGATTATCATTATTTCAGGCCTTCAAAAATTAAGGGTCATGTGCGAGTGGGTTGGCCCTGGATATGGGGTCGTGGCATTTTGACTACGAGGTGGATATTTTGCTTGGGGAAAAAAAATGTAACACATTCTCCCCGTCCCACAAAACCCACAAAACGGTGTAAAATTTCCTTATTTAGTCGTTCAAAAGAAAGGTTTTCAATTTCTTTTAAGCAGGGAATATGTGGTTACCTCTCACCTCCACAAATTTCAACCACGCAAGGAGAGAGCATAAAATAACTTCAATTGCTTGTTTAATAGGTTTAAAGTATCCCTTTAAATCTAACTTCATTAGCTTCTTCAACTTTACATGTTTTAGAATTGCACAAAAGCATCAAATTTTTAGAAGTTTTTTCTTGAAAAAAGACTATAATAAATTAATAATAATTATAATAAACTCATGTTTCTAACATCCTATTAGCAATGTCGCAATTAGAAAAATGTTGCACTGCATCAAATATATTGATTCAAGAAAAAATTGAGATGTGTCCAGTTCACCTTGCCTATGTACACTATTACAAAAATAAGCAAATTAGCATTCTTCCCGAACTTTCATAAATCATGAACTCATGAAGTATTTTCCTTCCATATGTATAGGATACGGCTTATGATTCGAAGCAATCACAAACATAAAACTGTCTCAATCTATTTTAACGTTGTACATTTGGCGTGCACGAAAGTGTACGTGCTGCATAGATGACTACTAGATAAGTTGCATGTTCCGAACACAAAACCTATTAATTAATGAATTCAGCATCATAGATTAGTAATGACATGGACTCATCATCGTCATTATTCCAGTGCTCAAAGACAATCATAAATTAATTAAGAGAAGATCGGATGTATGGAATCTTACCCTTGTACTAGTCATGGATCCGGTCCGGGCCGACCGGCCCAGCCCAGGTGACCGGTTCCGGTACTGGGCTTTGCCCCTACCCGGCGTTTTAACCGGGGGCGGTTCCGGGGCGGCAAAATAGCGACCCGGCCTGACCCAGCCGGGCCCGGTTCGGGCCTTTTTGGGTTTTTTTTTTCAATTTTTTTTTGTTTTTTCCGGGTTGGGCTGGGTGTTTTGGGGGGGTTTGGGGGTGGGGTGAGGGGGGAGGGTTGGGGGTTAATTAGAAAAGAAAAAACAAAAATTTGAACCGGCCCGGACCCAGTAACATCCTGGGCCGGTTCCGGGCCTCCCCCCCCCCCCCCCCAAAAAAAAAAGCCCGGTCGGGCCCGAACCGGAACCAGAACTGGCCCGGGCCCGGTCCATGACTACCCTGTACTAAAATGCAGAGAGTCTGTTTCTAGTTTCTGAATGACCCAAGTGAAAACCGCGTCCAAAATTGCATGAAATGACTGTTGCTTCATAACAAAGAACCGCAAACAGTTTATTGAGTCATTTTGTTTCATTCCATCATATTCTAAAGCAAAAAAGAAATACGGAGTAGATCATTAATGTATTTACGGATTTTATATTATAAATGTCTTGCATAAATTCATCAAATGTTCAGGAGTTAATTACTCAATTCATGAATTCAAACATATAAAATTTATTTAAAAAGATTCACAGTAAGACACCTCAATTCTTCATAGCCTGGGGCATAGGGCGTTCCGGCGTTGTGTTATATTTTTCTTTCACCGATCAGGCTAAAATTCCAACTCGCCAATTCTTCAAGTGCCAAAGTCAGAATCTTCTACGTGTTGCACCGCAGCGGGTAGCGGATAGCGGATTGGATGCCCTGGATGAGCTATGTGCAGGACGTGCGGGCGTGAGCAGCCATGAAAGCTCCATGAGAAAGAAGATGCAAAACGCCAAGTTAGGGTAATTTGTTTGGGAAAATATCATTGACCCACTATAAATCTATAATTAGTAAGGATGTTTTTAACTAAAACTAGATTTAGCAAACATCTTAATTTGCTAAAGATGATTATTTTAACAATTTTCATTTTATTTTCTACTTATTTTATTAATAAAATATATTTAGAAATAATTATTTCTTAACTCAACATATACAACCACTTTACACGTTTAGACAGAACTTAACCAAGTTTAGTGTTTTAACTTTTAAACGGACTCATAATTGTAAGGAATTATGTTTGTTTGTTTTCCACTCGGCCGGGTGCCACGCCGCGTACTCGGCTGGGTACCGGTCCCGGAAGATCGGGCAGGGCCAAGCCTAAACAGTAGCAGGCCGGGCCGGGCCGAGCCTAAGCAGTAGCGGGCCAGGCCAGATCCCAGGTCGGGCCTTCCGAGCCCGGTCCATCCCAAGTGGTAAGCAATTTCGTATACCAATTTCTGTGTAATTTGAATGGTTTTAAGCTCCAACACATATTTGGATCTTAATAAAAGTCTTTTCACCTTCTTAATATAGAAACCTTTCCTTATATAGATAGTGTCTAGCGAAAATAGGGAATAGGGAAAATGGCATTATCAGTGATGAATGAAAACAAAAATGGAGGATTACACTTGTTTCATATTTCAGTGCTCCAAAACTTTGATCTTTTCAAGACAATTAGTCATCTGCTGCTCCACATCTCCATTAAGATTGCTTCCACCTAGCAACTTATAGTGCTCAAACTTTGACATTTCACACTTCAAAGCAGCATTTTTGCAGGCCTTGATACTTCCTATTATATTATCATATCACAAAACAAGATTGCAGGTGAAATGAAAAATACCTACATCATTATGAGAGTGAAATAGAGGAGTTGTTGAGCTTACCACTCAGATCCAACAAGTTGAATACCACCGGGCAGTTCCCTATATTCCTAATTAAGGTGATTGCAGCCCAAACTTCTTTATAATCTTCCCTGGATGCTCTGATGATGAAAACTTTTGTTATAGGGTTGACATACTTCACTACAAAAAATGCAGCATTGACAAAAATGAGTTTATATTCAGGACATGAAACGAAAAAGATGAAAACGCCAAAACGGGAATCAGTTGAGGAATTGAATGATTAAAACTTTCAATCTAAGACTTCAAAAATCATGAATTTCTTTTCATTTTTTATTTGTTTTGAATGAATCCTTTATTAAATTTGATATATAACCCAATAAGCAATTTCCTCAGAAAATTTTAAACTAAAAAAGGTAAAAAATCATGATCTGTTCAAGTCTTGGATTGATAGTCTTCAATTATAGAGATCCTAAAATGATAGTTTTTATCTTTCACGTAGTCCTGTACTGATAAAGAACCTACCTTTGGGGTCTTGAATCGACAGAACTCCAATAAATAAAATAACGTAGACGCCCATAAGTTACAAAGTACCCTATTCTTTACCATAAATATAAGTAAAGCACCAACAAACAGGAAACAGCACTCAAATACTATGGTGATAAGTGAAAACCAGAAATGTATATCCTGTTCCACAAGGTTGTCAAAGTCGAGCGCCTGAGCGCTTAAGCGCACTAGGCGCAGCGACAAAGACCCCCAGCGCCCTAAACAAGGCAAGTCGCACTTCCCCCTCTCAGGCGCAGGTAAGGCGCACAAAGCGCAGAAGCGCAGGTGGGCTATTAAGCGATCGCTAGTCGCACCTGACAGGGGAGAATTTTTTCCCGGTTTTACTGAGTGTTTTTTACATTTGCGGTCAAACAAGACCAGTAAAAGGCCCATATTTTTAATATGGCCCATATAAATAAGGTCAAAAAAACTAAACCTACGCAGCTACGCTAAACACATAACGTAAACCACCTCCTTCTCTGCTCGCTACAACCTCCGGTCTCTCCACATCAACCGCAGAAGCTTGCAGGCTGCAGCAGTCCAGCACTCAACGATCAAAGTAAGCTTTCTTCTCCTTCATCTTCCATTTTATTTATTTTTTCATTTTTCAGCAGCTACTTCTCTTACATGTTTCAGCATGTATGCTTCAGTTATATACTACCAGTGTGTTTTTTGTGTATGTATGTGTAAAGTGTAAAATACCTTTCTATTATCTTCCATACAGCTTATTTTGCATGTTTCAGTTAGTAACCTAACAACTTTCTTGTACTCTACAGCTGTTTATTAGTTAGTACTTACTACTTAATATGTTTCTGCATGTTTATCTGTTAGTATGTTTTCAGTTAGTATGATTCAGACTTTCAGTTTATCAGTATGTTTCAGACTTTCAGTTTATCAGTATGTTTCAGACTTTCAGTTAGTATATAGTTGTGACTTGTGGTAAATTTTGCTGTGGCTGGGTTTAAGTTTTTCAGTTTAGTTTCCATGTACTAGAAGTCTGGTATATGTTTTAGCATGCTTATCAGTTACTGTGTGTCATTAAGTATTTTTTACGGTTAGCATGTTTCAGCATGCTTATCAGTTAGTACAGTATGTTTCGGTTAGTATATTTTTTTCAGTTATTATGCTTCAGCTAATTTAGTATGCTTCAGCATGTATGTTTCAGTTAATTAGTAAACTAAATTTTTAAATACTGAAATAATATTGTATATATAATATCTGGCTTGTGTAATTTCTACAGGACATGGAAGGTGGAACTTCAGCCACGGCTTCTGAAGCTGCTAAGTCAACAAAAAATGACCCGGCTTGGAAACACAATTACTGTGCTTACCCAAACAATCAAAATGCAGTAACTTGCATCTACTGTGGAAAGGAAACAAATGGGGGGATATACAGGGCAAAACTAAAATCTAATTATGTTTTATTTTCTAGTTTTAGTGTTTAAGACTTTAAGTGAATCATGAGTCATGACTTTATTTTGGTTAATCACTTAATCGTGACTTTATTTTGGTCAATCGTGACTTTATTTTGGTGAAGCATGACTTTATTTGTAAGAAACATGACTTTTTAATGTATTTCCTTCAATATGGTGACTGGTACATCATCTTTGATTGTTGGAGAGTAGTATGTGTTATTTTTTCTAAGCATTGTGCCTGACACGAGTCAGGCGAGCGCTTTTTTGCGCCTTGCGCCTCAGGCGCTGGGATTACCTCGTCGCCTTGAGTGCGCCTAACGCCTTTGACTACCTTGCTGTTCCATTTACCTTGAAATGAGTTGAGCGAAGAGGCTAGACCACACTCTCCAAAGTTCACCAGAATGCTATCTTTGATAGATTTTGAGAGATTGAATTGTGTGATAATAATAGGGTCATTTCCCACAATGTCCTTATTTGGATCCAAAAGTACTTCCATTACCATGTATCTATTCTTGAACCCCACCATGCTGAGCTGACAATCTAGCAGGCTACATATAATGAATGAAAGAAGATAAGCACAGTGAAACTGCAGTATGCGGCAAAGACAAGTGCCTAGATATAGCCCCCGTTTGGATATCGGCGGGTTTGGCCAAACCGCCAACTTTTTACAAAGTGAAACGCTGCAAAAAGCAGCGGTTTGGTGTGAAACCTCCAAAGAACAAACGGAGCCATAACCAGTAGCCACTTCAATATCATCAAAACGATGAACGAATGATACTGTTATCAGTATGAAAATACAAAAAGACAAATATGCCATGGTAGAGTTTATGGGAAAAAATGTTGAGTTTTCTATCCATTTGTGAAACAACATAGCATCATATCATTCATTGAAAAGTAACAGACTGACTTCAAATTAACTGTGTTTGCTAAGATCTCATAAAAGGACAACCAATTACTCATATAAAAGAGTGTAACAATGTTATCGATAGCGGATTATGGCAGAAAGTCTAAAAACCGATACATAAGTATTGGATAGTATTGCTGTAAATAGCTGATGCATAGCAAATTAGGTAAGCTAAATTACATATATAATAGTTAAATTCAAAAGTAATAATGTTATTACACTATTGTGGTTATTAACATTCGTAGGTGATTATTGTAGGTTGGTTTCATAATAATTAATTGATGGATTTTGCATGTTATTGTTAGTTAATAAAAAATGAATATGAACTAACCACTTAACACTAAACAGCCAACAAATCAACTAATTATTTATCAACTATTCATTTATGAGATTTTTCTAAAATATTACTAATAAAAAAGTTTCAAATTTGTGACTTAGTAATTATTAGTGATTATAATTGTATTCAAAGTTTACATAGTAGTGCCTACATGCACTAGCGGACACAAATGGGGGCTAATTGGGGAGCCGCCCCCATTTTTTCCCTACTAGGTATATTTGCTCCGAAATTTTAATATATGTGTATTAATATATACGTATATTAATCACTAATAATTACAAAGTCACATTTTTGAAACTTTTTTAGTACAATATATACTAAACTTTAAACATGAACTCAGTAAAATATAAGCTTTAAACAAAACTATAGTTATTAAGTCATATTTTTGTGCTCACTTTTCCAGGAGTAATATTGGTAAAATTCTTTCTTCATTTATAAACAGTAAACATTTAGGGGTTACAGAATTAATGAACTAATCAAATAATCAATCAAAGACTAAACGAATTCAGCCGTTAAGAAATGAAGAGGTCGGAGGAGTACCTGAAGCGTGGAGCGCTGAATCGCAGTAAGGAGAGCGGGGGCACCAGAAGGCTGATGAAGTGGGGAGTGATCGAGTGAGCACTTGACACTTGCAGGGGCAGGGAAGGAGGCGGCCAAGAGTCGGCGGCAGGGCGGTCAGCGAGTCGGCGACTTGGCGTTCCGTTCTTCGATGTCTATAAGTGTATACTCGTTCCCACCGGCTGCTACTTTGTTCCACTGAAGAGTGAAGACGTAAGTCTCGTCTCCCTATTACTCACTCAGCCTTTCGTGATGTTAAAATTTAAAGAATGATTTTAGCTATTATATTTGTGTGTAATACTTAAACAATGATATTATTTTTATGAAAGATTTTTTAATAAAGAATATGCACACATAATATTTATATTTTACTACGTAAATGATTTTGTATTAAAAGATATTATTGGTCAAACTTAACCACCATTGATCAAGAAAAGTCAATTTGATCAATCTTTTTTAGCGGAATAAGTATTTTATTAATCAAAAATATTTAAAAAAAATTCATAAATCAGCAAAAATGCAAAATCAGCCAATACAACCATTTCAGTTAGAAGTCACAAATTTCAGCAGAATCAGTCAATTTCAATGTTACCAAACGGGCTCTTAATTCACGAAAAATTAGTCTACACCCAACAACAACAAAAGTCATATATTGGCCTTAAAGTTTTTTCATTTTGTGGGTCTATGCCCCCACCCCTGCAGCCTCAGAGAGTCAGAGGACACCGGGTTGAAAGAAGAAAAGTTATACAGTAGTATTAAATTATTGAATCAAACAGGTTCTCTTAGACAGTGTTTTCCTTAGACAGTAGTATACTACTCTTACAGTAGTATACAATCCACGCGAGTCTAATTAGGTAGTGTCCATGTGATATGGTTGTCTAAAATTCTTAGTCTTGAATCAAATTGACTAAGAATATACTGTCTAAGCCTGCATCCCTCCCGATTGATTTCAACTCCCAACTGTAAGCCACCCAACAAAACCAGGATGTTGTTGTTCAGTGTTCTTTCGCACAAGTCCCAAACACAAGGTTCCTCAATGCACAATTGCACGGTACTAGTTACAACATGAAGCCTTTTCACTAACCACTGTCCCATTCATCCATTTGTTTTGACTTATAGACCTTCATCTTGTTCCCATGACTCGCTTTGGTGTTACCAGCAGCACCATTGGTTGTGCTTTCTTTTATGCACTCTTCGTCCCCTTCGTCTGATTCCCACATTGCATCCTCAAGATCACTAAGCGTATCATCCGAAGCAGACTCATCTGACATCTTCTCTTCAAATTTAGGTTTACCATATGTCTCGGACTTCCCATTACCCCTATCCTTGCCAATATTTGTTTTTCCCCAGCTTCTTATGTTTTGGTTTCTACTGTTGTACTCTCTATGATTATCATAATTACTTTTCCCTCTGGAACGCCATCGATCATCATCCTCAGAAATATTGTCATCTTCATCACTGGCATCATGAACATACTTCATGCCACGTTTATCATTCCAGTTCCTTGTCCTTCCTAACTCACGATCTGATTCACCATCACTTCCATTCTCTGATCTTCTTCTGGGCCGACCACCGAAATCCTCCTGGTTCAAATATCTGATTCTCCCAAGTTCTTCCTTCTCCGCTGCTTCCTCAGCAGCCCATTCTCTATCAGCTTCCCTTTCTATGTCAGCTATAAAACGGTCAAGCTCCTCCTGATCACTTTCTTCATCAGATTGATGTTGCTCTATGTCACTGCTGCTGGGACCAGCTTGGTTGCTTTTGTGGCCTTGGAAAACATAAGGGCTTCCTTCTTTCTGGTCGATGGCATTGAAGAATGTGGAAGCTACACGTTGTATGCTAGCCATGGCCACCGGATCATCAGGATTAATCCCTTTTCTACGGAGTTTTTGTTCATAATCCTTTATGTTCAATTTCTGTGAATCTAGAGCCTGCTCGAATCTTGCTTTAAATAGTGCCTGCCAGCCAACAGATTAACTCATGTTGTAATGTAATAAATAGCTGGACATATCTGATCCAGCATCACAATTATTACAAGACCAGGAGAAAAGCAACTTAAAATGGGAAAGAATGAAAGGCAGAAACCCAGATACAAGGCAAATGTACTACATACATTATAAGATTGACTGGAAAGACATAATTATTAGAGATAGATATGAGGTAAAAGAAATATAACTTCCTGCATTTTGACCAATTTACTGCAGAGTACTGGTAACATCTATCATATACATCTCATTATAAAATATATCGAAGCATAAACACAGAACTGATCTTCATGTAAACATATAGATGCACATATCTGAAGCAAACTTGACAGTTCAAGTGAATGTCTCGCTGACATCATAATAAAAGATTATAAGGAAATTCAAAAGATTTTACTACATACTAACCTTCCTTTTTGTAAGTGTGTTGATAGGAATCAGATTTTTGGGTTGCCTGTAATTTCTTCCACGGAACATAATAATGGTTTTCACATTATGAATGTTAACCACAATACCACCACTCAGTCGTGCTAACATGGAGGCCATCTCCTTAATTTTTTCCTTAGGGTAATTATCACAACAAACTTGAACAGTCTCATGGAACTTCCAGTGAAGATGCATATTCTGGACAACTCCCCCAAAAACACCTCGGACACCAACAGGAACGTAGTTTCTATTCTTGTAACCAATCTTCTTATATGCCTGAAGCTGCTCGGGGGTCAAAAGCTCAGGATCATGCTTCGGGGATGGCAGCTCTGGAAGCTCATATTTTTTCAGCTTCTGAAGAAGCAATGCCACTTTTTTCTTTGCCTACACTAGAGAAACAGAACAAAACATGAGGATGCTAATGGCAAAATAAATCATCTTTCTTCATCTCAATACACACTGAAACTCATAACATGCTAAAGATATAAGTTAAGAAGAAAATATAAAAAAAATCAAATTTTGCATTTCTATAGAAATGCCATAGGGAGTTGAATTGACTGTGGAGAATGCTTCATCATAAATGATTTAACTTACTCTTCTAAGATTATATAAAAGCCTTTCCTCTTCAGTCATCAACTTCTTCCGAAGTTTACCAGCTCTCCTACGTTCTCTTAGGGTTTTGCCCGTCTCTTTAATCAGCCGCGCCTCCACTTTGCTCCTCATGCTCTTTCCTGACATCCCTCGAGCCCCGTCAACATAAATGGCTCTTTGATTCCGAATTCTAGTAAACATAAATGGCTTTGTCGCCTCTTTAATTCGAAGTACAGGCCGATAATTCCCGTCCATAGGCCGAGAATTGCCTCCTTTGGGTAGCACCGCATTCCTAATTTTTTTTGGGAAAATTAACCATACAGATCAATCAAATTTGATTAATAACGCAAATGACAGGGTATAGTTGGCGGGAATGGAGGAGATAGTACATACTCTGTAGGATTGCTGGAAATGAGAAAATTGAGGGCTCTAACAGAGTGCCTTTGAAGGTTTCTTGCGGTAAACATCACAAAGGGGAAGCGAGAGCGAACAATTCCAATCAAAGACGAAAAATGAGTCGCCGATTGAGTTGTCTTCTTAGATAGCCATTGACATGTTGCTTGAAGGCCTGTGGAGCGTCGTCAATGCACAGGTTAGATGTTTGGAGGGTTTTAGCTATTTTGATTAGGGGTGGTTCGGTACGGTATACCTTATATTTTTTCTCATACCTTTGCCGTACCAAAACTTTCGGTATGCAAAATTTGCATACCTTTACCTTACCGAAGTTTCGGTATACCGCATTTCGGTATACCGAAGTTTCGGTTCGGTAACGGTACGGTATCGGTAAATTACCGTGCATGTCTCCCAATACAAAAAATTATCATAGACTAATGAAATATAGTAAATCGTTATTACTAGCGACTTATTAAATCTATTATTAAAATGTTACGAAATACAATTAATAATATATTGATGTCAATTCAATATTGAACAATAATCTTAGTTTAAAAAAGCGCGCCTGAGGCGCGCAAAGGCGCGAGGCGCAGCTAGGCGATGGGTATATCGCATCTGCTAGTCCCAGGCGCAGTAGATACCCAAAGGCGCGCCCCATCCGTCGCTTTTTGACGCTTTTTGCGCTTCTATGATGCGGCCGCCTCTGGCGCCTCTGGGATGAGTATCGACTTGTCCCTGCGAGACCTTTGGCGATTCTCTCTTTGCCTTTCCCTATTCTTCCGCTCCTCTCTCCTAGCTTCGTAAAGTAGCAGTTTTTATTTTAAAGGAGTCGCAGGTTTGTTTTAAGGAGTTGCAGGTTTCCTTTACTCTTTCTGCTCTTTTGTTTCCTTTACCTTTTCTTCTCTTTTTATTTTAAAATTTTTAAATTTATCAAACAGTTTCAATTATTTAAATATTAACACTTTAGCAATCTGCCCTAAACCCTAAACTAAATCAGATGGTTTATCAATGTTAAATAGTAATAATAATAATAATAATAATAATAATAATAATAATAATAATAATAATAATAATAATAATAATAATAATAATAATAAAGAGGGTTTCTACAATTAGATTGTTTAAGTTTTTACTTTTAATAATTATAGTTTATTAAAAATTTATCATAACTTTAAAAAAAATTACTATTAAATGTTTAGAAATTAGTATTGACTGTTTATTTCTTTTAAATTATTAAAATATTACTATAAACTGGGTTTTAGTTTATAGTTTATTATGTAACAGTTATATTAGAAAAATATTATTTTTTTTGGCAGAGACAGTTTATTATTATAAAAAACTTCTTATATAACAATTTATTAAATAAAAAATTTGTTAATTGTTAAAATTATTATTAAGAGTTTATTATGACAGTTTGTAAATATTAACACTTGATTATATAATGGTTTTATTAAACATTGCTATTAATTGTCGATGAGTACACTACTTTGCTTGTGAGTTTGCTACTTTGCTTTTTAGTTACATTATGAATAGGCATTTAACATATTTGTTGTTACTGTTTGAATAATTTTTTTTTGTGATTGATTTTGATGTTACATAAGCTTGTTTCATGGCTTGAGGTATAAATATGGCTTGTTTCATGCCTTCATGAAGTATAAATATAATTTACCACCAAAGTTATATACTTATATTGTTTAGTTCCGTGAGGCGCGCGCCTCACCGCCTAGCGCCTCACGCCTCGGGTAAATCAATGAAAGCGCCTCAAGCCGCCTCACGCCTTTTAAAACTAAGACAATAATTATAATTAGTATATTTAAGCAGTTCAACATACCACATATTATAAAGTAACACATTCTCCTAAAATAACTTGAACAATATAGATATAATTAAATTAATAGTGATCTCTAACAAAAATAAATAAAACTATTCAAACAACATGGATATAAAATCATTTATTCCTAATATGATATTGTGCATTTAGTCATTTTTATAATTTTTTAAAAATTGAATAAGACTTTCGGACAAAGTTGTGTGTCTCGACTCGCTGAATCCCTATGTAGATACACTTGTCACATAAGTGTATCTCTCTTCACTCGTCAGCTACTTAGCGGCCCAGCCATCACGACTTGCAAGCTCTTGGAACAAGATGGACTTGTTTCTTGACATTTGTACATTACTCATTAGTCATTTAAGATTAGCATAGTAGAAGCCTACATTTAACATTACTCATTTGTACCACTATAAGGTTATAGTGGCTTTGAGAAATTGGGCCTTTATTTTTGTATTTTTTGTATTTGTAACCAACTTAAGTATTAATTTTGGGCTTAAAAATTGTAATAGATTTCTACAATGTATTAGAATTGAAAGTAATTGTTGAGTAGGGAGTCGGTACGGTATTATACCGGTATACCGCGGTATTTGAAAACATTTACCGTTACCGTACCGAAATAGACCGGTACGGTATGATACCGTACCGAAAATGACGGTATACCAATATTTCGGTACTTTCCGGTATTTTTCGGTACGGTAAGTGCGGTATACCGATATTTCGGTATTTTTACCCACCCCTAATTTTGATCGACCGTAGGTTTTTCCCAACGTAAGATTTTCAGAGGCTTTCCAAATTGTAAATAAGTTAGAGTAACTTTTTTTATTATTATTATTATCATCATCATCACCAAAATTAGTGAGGTAAATGTCAGGGAACATTTATCATATTTTATTAATGTAAATAATTAATACCAAAGAAGAGGGGTCAGGCCAATGCCTCTTCAGTAAAGGCATACTATAATTTTAATCATAGATATAGGTATAATTGTATTTGTTGTTATAATCAGGGCCGTCTCAAGTTTATAAGGTCTGCAGATTACAAAAAGTAGACCTTATTATATTACTGGTCATGGACAAAATGTTATGGAGTATTACACATTGATATTGTATCTGCATAAACTGGAGTACGTTGGGTTTTCAAACTTGATCCACATACATAAGGTACGTTGGTTCTTTCTTTATTACTACTACGTTTTTCTTAGTGGGGCTCTTGAGTTTATATTAAAGAGTCCCGTTCCTGTCCAGCCGGCCTAACGGAATCCGCCGTCCGGCAGAGGGCATTTCGGGCACTTCCTAATCGAATTTTTTGATGAATTTTTTTGAGCATGTTTTTCATCAAGTCTAGTTTATCCATACCAAATTTCAGCTCAAAATTCGATCGGGAAGGCATTCAAATCATTTTTTGAAGTTGACTGCGTCAAAATATACATATAAAAACCCATTCAACTTCAAAAAATGATTTGAATGCCTTCCCGATCGAATTTTGAGATGAAATTTGGTATGGATAAACTAGACTTGATGAAGAACATGCTCAAAAAATTTCATCAAAAAATTCGATCGGGAAGTGCCCGAACTGCCCTCGGCCGGACGGCTGGACATGAAATTTCCTCTCATATTAAATATAAATATACACACATATATATACTAATGATTTTTTAAAAAATATGGGCCTTCATTATTTGTAGGCCCCGTGCAATAGCACTGTTTGCACAGCCCAGTAGACGGCCCTGGTTATAATAGTAGTTATAATTGAAATAATTTCTATAATTATTGTTTTAATTATAGATATGATTAATAATAATGATTATCATGCCGATGATTATAATGATGGTGGTGGTGGTGGTGATGATCATAACCATAATAATAATCATAAATTCATAATATTATAATCATAATAATAACAATAGTAATAGTAATAATAATATAATAATAATAGTAATAATAATAATAATAGCAATAATAGTAATAATAGTAATATAATAATATAATAGTAATAATAATATAACAGTAATAATAGTAATAATAATAGCAATAATGGTAATAATAGTAGTGGTAGTAATAATAATAATGATAAAACAATAATAATAATAATAATTATTATTATAATAATAATAGTAGTAATAATATTAGTAGTAGTAATAATAATAATAGTAATAGTAGTAGTAGTAGTAGTAGTAGTAGTAGTAGTAGTAGTAGTAGTAGTAGTAGTAGTAGTAGTAGTAGTAGTAGTAGTAGTAATAATAATAATGATAAAAAAATAATAATAATAGTAATAAAAATAATTATTATTATTATAATAATAATAGTAGTAATAATAGTAGTAGTAGTAGTAGTAATAATAATAATAATAGTAATAATAGTAATAATAATAATAATAATAATAATGATAATAATAATAATAATAATAATAATAATAATAATAATAAACAAAAACAATAATAATACGAAGTAATAATAATAATAATGGTAATAATAATAATAACAATAACAATAATAATAACAATAACAATCATTATAGGAATAGTAATAGTAATAGTAATAGTAATAGTAATAGTAATAGTAATAGTAATAGTAATAGTAATAGTAATAGTAATAGTAATAGTAATAGTAATAGTAATAGTAATAGTAATAGTAATAGTAATAGTAATAGTAATAGTAATAGTAATAGTAATAGTAATAGTAATAGTAATAGTAATAGTAATAGTAATAGTAATAGTAATAGTAATAGTAATAGTAATAGTAATAATATAAATGATGATGATGATGATGATGATGATGATGATGATAATTCAAATCATATCAGATCGGAAAGATTCAGATCACATCAGAAAGATTCAGATCAGCACAAATCAGAAAGATTAAGATCCGATCAGATCAGATAAGAAAAATTTATCAGATCAGATCCGATCAGATCTTAAAAAATTTAGATCGGAAACATTTAAATTAGGCGAAGAGAACAACTTCTTAATGTGAAGAAATGGAAGAACATTAAATGTTTTGATCTATAGATGGAAGAAAAACTTCTTTCATGGAAGCTCAGCAAACCGAGAAGCGAAGTGAAGACAATAAAACGGATTAGACATAAGGATATATTAAAGCTCAATGTTAATGGTTCGTTCTCATCTGATAGATCGACGGGCGGGGCGGTGATGCAAGATATGAAAGGGAAGCTCATTTTCGGTCTAAAATTTCAGATCCGCGCAGAGTCAGCCTTTAATTTGAAGCTAAAATTCGAGTTGATATTTTTGCTCTTCACTGGGCGATGAATTGATAAAGGCTTTACAACATTCGAGATGGATACAATTTGCCAGCGGATGATTTCTCTTCTTCAAGACCTATTCTACGATGGAAGATGGAAGAACTACC